TATTCATAAATAACTTGTTCTATATTTTTTAAATTCTAATACCACATAGACTATAAAAAATATCAATAAAAAAACATACTTCTTTTTTTTTTTTTTTTTTTTTTTTTTTGAGACAGAGTCTCACTTTGTTGCCCAGGCTAGAGTGAGTGCCGTGGCGTCAGCCTGGCTCACAGCAACCTCAATCTCCGGGCCTAGCGATCTACTGCCTCAGCCTCCCGAGTAGCTGGGACTACAAGCATGCGCCACCATGCCCGGCTAATTTTTTTTTGTATATATATTTTTAGTTGGTCAATTAATTTCTTTCTATTTTTGGTAGAGACGGGGTCTCGCTCAGGCTGGTTTCGAACTCCTGACCTTGAGCAATCCGCCCGCCTCGGCCTCCCAAAGTGCTAGGATTACAGGCGTGAGCCACCGCGCCCGGCCAAAAACATACTTCTTAACCAACAGAAATAATCATCCCTGTGTGTTATGAGAAATTCTAAAAGCATATTCTAGCAAATACCAGTGTTCTTGCCTCTTTGGAAGTAGTCCCCCCTCTAGGAGTCAATATTCAACTAATCCCAGGCACTGGGCTACTGTAAATCACGTGAATAGCTTTTAAGGAAATGATATTGGTCATGACCAGCCCTCCAACATGTTAGGACACAAATAGCTCACAGGAACTGGTATGTTCTATTTCTTATAAAAGCCTTTTTTCTTTAAAAACCCTGTTTCCCATGAAGCTTTTAGAAATCCACATCAACCACTACTAAAGTAGTGAAGTAGCCTTTATTACGTAATAAAGAATGCCATAGATAATTGACCAAAGCAGCATGCTGGTTTTAGAATGGTCTATACCTTCACTCTCCACTTCAGAACCTCCTGTGCTAAGGGACCGCCACTTCTCCTTGGCTCGGGCAAGGCAGATGTCAAAGAGCTCTGGGAAAAAAAAAAGCTTCTGGGTAAGTCTTATATGCATATATGAGTATTTTTCACACACTACTATCTCCTTCAAATATTTAAGTTCAACCATAGCAGGTTTATTTGCACACTAAATAAGCTACTTAAACAATTCCCCCCAACTTTGCCTAAAAGTATTTTCATTGTTTAAAGACACAGCCATATACAAAGAAAGAGTATACAATACCACCATGCCTGGTATTTACCTATGTTACACAGCCCACCCATAAAACCATCTTATTTTGACTTGTGATTTGTCCATTGCCTCTACCAGACTGTGAGCTCCTTGAAGGTAAGACTATGAAGGTCTTTCACTCACCTCTGCATCCAGAACAAACCATGCTGAGCTTGACAGAGAACAATGCAACCAATGAATACCCGACTGATGGAGGGAGGGAGGGGGGGGAGAAGCAAAAAACCATCTGGTCCAAGTAAGGACATGATGGAATTGCTCCCCACCTGGCACAGGCCTCCTATTCTTGCTGCCTGCAGTAAAGTAGGGGTGGGAGCAGATCCCAGGAACGGCCAGAGGCCTCAAAGAATAAGGGTTCTTGATGACAGAGAAGTATCACGACAGTCACAAAATCTTCTCCATATTTAGAACTTATTTTTTCAATAGTTCTTCTCTTTGGGTAGTTTGGTAATAGTTAAGTAATAACTCATTCTCACAAAATTTACTAGTTTACACAGACCTCCGTGAGTATATGGAGGGGTATATCCATGCCCCATTATTCTTCAATGGACAATAATGAAGACTAACCCCACAGAGCTCTTCCTCAGTCCCGCTCCCCTACTCAGCCCAGTCCCAGCTGCCCTGTTCCTCTGGCCTCCATGCTTCCTAGCTCGCGGATATCTCAGATCACTAATAATCACTAGTCAATCAGAGACTTTAACTGCAGCCACCCAAAGAACTTTCATCACTCTAATTTTTCCATCATTACTTTTGGAAAATAAAGCAGAGCACACCTGCCTTCTGGGGAGTGACATTATTTTATCAACATGTAACTCAAATTCTAATAACATAATTATAACCCAACAAGTAAAATCTAAATTAATGCCCTTGTTCTAGCCTTGTGAGGGATCCAACTTAAAATCTATGGTGGTTTGCCATGGCAGGAGGAGGTGTAGTTATGAAGCACAATTTCACAGCACCACTGTCCAGAAAGCAGCAACTCAGTGCAAGTGCTGTCAGGACTACTCTGGCAGTGCTCTGAGCTGGTGGTTAGAGCACCCAGTGGGGCCTTTGCCTGCTCTAAGCCTCCAGGAGGCAGACCAAGCTTTGGTCATTTTGGCAGGAGATGGGTGAAAACCACTGTGTGGCCATGACCATGAGGGAACCACTTCCCACATAAGGTATTTGACAGTTACGGCACAGATATCAGTAGCCTAAGGGTAAAATGGGTCCAAGTGTGAGAGTTTGAAAACTCTCCCCCTTGGCTCTACTGATGTGTATTTTGGGGTTGGGGTGGGGGCTAGAACAGCTACTACTTCTTCCCATACACCCTGACCCAATTTCAAAGTACAAGAGTGAAGTTTTAATAGTACTGTTAGGTTAACTTGACTTTCAGTAAGTTTCCAATTGTACAACCACAAAAAGAACAAACTCTGTGGCTTCCCAAGTCAAAACATGGGCTTCAGAATCAGGTAGGGCTGGAATCATAATCCTGGCCCCACACATACTAGCCATGAGGCCTGGGCCACAGTCTCCAGCCTTTTCAGGATGCTAAACATTCTCGAGAGGAAAACGAGGTCAAGGTCACTGTCTATGTTAAATAAGGCATATAAATAAAGAACCTAACATGATGCCTGGTACTCAACAATTGGAATCTAAGATCATTTGTGTTCTTACACCAACTTGGAGATGCAGTAAAATTGAGATTAAGCAGGACTCAATAAGGTGGCACTCACTCACTCAACAGGTATTTCTTGAGGACCTGCCATGTGCTGAGACTTGAGCTGGGTATAGTGACAGAGCTGAGAGCACAGCAGATGAGGCCCCAGCCTCCTGAACACTAGTTCTACGGGAGGCCACTGACATTAACCAGCTAATCATACAACACAGACACAGTTTAAACAAAGAGAGCCAATATCAGGGTTTAGACAAACATTTAAGACATATAATTGATTAATTAGCTGTTTAGCACAATCTACTATGATATGGTCCATGGAAGGTTTTAATTTAAATAAAAGCAACCAAGTCATTAGTGAGAACGAAAAATGTAAAATACACATCCCAAGTACTGTGTATTACATTCAATTTGCAGGGACAGGGTTATTGATAGAGTTTAGAAATTTTCAAGAACATGGACTGAAATAGATGCTCAGCAATTTCTTCAAATCTCAAATTCTAAGGATGCTTTTAAAAAGCTATTTCCACAAGTTAAATGTTCTACATCTTCTCATGTAAAGATGTTAAAACAAAATTTTGGCAGGTATGGATTTAGCCAAAAGAGGAGTTTTGGAGGGAGTTCACTGCTCCCATGTCGCTGCTTTAGTACCCTGCTGCACAGAAGCCAGCAACCATCCAACCACCAGCTGACATTCCTCAAGATAAAAATAGTAATAGAAACCCCAACTAAGAGAGGGAAGATACAAATCAATCTGCTTTAAACTCAAAGGCCTTCACCAAAATAAAAACTGCATCATCAACTCCACCAGCCAGAGGACAGGAAGGTATCCCTGTCCTCCATCAGCTTCAAGTGTAGGCAGAGATACAAAAACAAGAAGGAACACTACCATTTATTAAGCACTTGATTTTAAGTCTGTGAGCTACTGGCACCAATTTCACTATGGCTGCACAGAGCTCTACAGAGTGCTTGGGACACACTGGAAGTGAATCCAGTCTGCTGGAGGAGATGCAGACAGCATGAGAATGGTGAGCACAGTTCACACCCAACACCCCCAGACTTAAGCCACTAGAGCCCCAAGGACCCCAGTCCTAGCACAGTAAGTTGTGTTAGTAGGCTTTTGCTCTGAATTATCAGGTAACTGAAACACCTAGGACATCTGCTCTGAACTATCAGGTAACTGAAACACCTAGGACTAAACCCAGGCCTCCCAGCTACCCCTCTCTCCTGGAGGACAGTCACCTGGGCTCTCAAAAGACACAGCTTCATGGCAATGGTTGCCACTCTTAAGGGCAGAAAGGCCAGAAGAAGCTACCGGACCCAGGGGGTGGATTCCCCAAGGCTAGGATCATGCAAACCACTCACCGTGGGTGATATTTAACTCGTTGCCAATGGCTAAGCTCCAGACTTTGCCTCTCACACTTGGAGGGATTCCCTGCCACCACAAATCTCGAACTTTTCTAGAGCACCACCTGGACAAAAATAGAAGTATGAGTTTACGAGTTTGTTCTCCACAAAGAAATAGTTGTCTACCCAGCCCCAAACCACCAGGAGCTAGGGATGCACAGTTATATAAGGCACAGACCCTGCCCTCAGGGAGCTAAGAGTCCAGGGTTCTGTAAAGATCAGATCAACAATCACTATTCACTGGGCAACTAGCATGACAGGTATTGAAGAATACAGCACAGCAGGGAGCACCACAAGCCAGCAGGCCCAGGGCACTATTCTGTAGCCAAGTTCTGAGTAAGCAGTAGCAATTTAAGCACATGAAGGATGAGAAGGAGGTTCTGAGCAGAAAACACAGAAAAAGAAATAACCTGGCCTCCTACAGAAACTGCACATAGCTGCAGATGGGTGAGGAGGGCCAGAAAGCACTGCTGCAGAGCTGGGGGTAGAAGGCAGACCCCAAGGGCCCCATGAGGCGAGCCCAAAGAGACAGCAGATAGCCACCACACTACTACACAGGCAGAGCACTCAGGTTCGAGCTGCCAAACTTTAACTGTGGAGAACTGTGCTGACTCAGAACATTCTGGACTGCACAAAGTCGTTCAGGTCTGCTGGTCACAATGAACACACACTGCCAAAAGACTGCACAATGCAAAGGTTCCGCAGACTCTCAAGGGGCTCCTGAGCACAGCGCAGTGGGGGATCACAGGCTTTGAGGCTACAGATACCAGGAATCTGGAGCAAATTACTTTTCCTCCCTGAACCTGTAATATCCTCTCTAAAATCAAGAGGATGAGACCTACCAGCCAAGGGCTGTTGTGAAGACTAAGCAGGATAAAGTACAAAAGCATCCAGCACAGCGCCTGGTAGCGTCCATGTGCATTCAATGGCAGCTGTTGCATGTGTATGTGCATTCAGAAAACAGCTAACACAGGACTGGGTAGGACAGGCCAGGGGTGGGCTCTGCTGCCTCTCAGGGAGCAAAAAGGGTTCCAAGAATCTCTATTCTTTTTCTTTTATTTTTTTTGAGTCAGAGTCTCACTCTGTTGCCTGGGCTAGAGTGCCGTGGCATTAGCCTAGCTCACAGCAACCCCAAACACCTGAGCTCAAGCGATCCTCCTGCCTCAGCCTCCCGAGTAGCTGGGACTACAGGCATGTGCCACCATGCCTGGCTAATTTTTTCTATATATTTTTAGTTGGCCAATTAATTTCTTCTTCTTCTTTTTTTTTTTTTTTTGAGACAGAGTCTCGCTTTGTTGCCTAGGCTAGAGTGAATGCCATGGCATCAGCCTAGCTCACAGCAACCTCAAACTCCTGGGCTCAAGCAATCCTACTGCCTCAGCCTCCTGAGTACCTGGGACTACAGGCATGCACGACCATGCCCAGCTAATTTTTTTTCTATATATATTAGTTGGCCAATTAATTTTTTTCTATTTATAGTAGAGACGGGGTCTTGCCTTGCTCAGGCTGGTTTCGAACTCCTGATCTTGAGCGATCCGCCTACCTCGGGCCTCCAGAGTGCTAGGATTATAGGCCTGAGCCACTGCGACCGCCAAGGCCAATTAATTTCTTTATATTTTTAGTAGAGACAGGGTCTCGCTCTTGCTCAGGCTGGTTTCAAACTCCCGACCTTGAGTGATCCACCTGCCTCGGCCTCCCACAGTGCTAGGATTACAGGCATGAGCCACTGCACTGGCCGAAGAATCTCTATTCTTGTCACTGGGTCCTGTTTAAGAAAAAGTTGTAGTGTTTCCTGGCAGCAGCAAGCCTTTTGAGGACACTGCCTAGAAAAGCAGGTCTGAAGATATCATCCTCGGTGAGACCCTTAACAGGCAATATGACCCCTAAAGTGTGAGTGAACCTGGTGTGAGTGTCATAAGTGAGTCTCTAACATTCTGACATGTAGAGCAAGAGCACAGGGAAGCTGGCATCCAAGCTTCCTGTGTGCCTCTGTGCACAGCCCTGGGACTACTGCTCACACACGTGCCCCTCTCCATTCTGAACATGCAGGAGAAACAACAGCTGTCCCTCAGATGTAAAGGGACAGTAGCTGGCAGACTGTGGAGCACACACTCCACTGATACTGGGGTCATCACCAAAGAAGACCTGGCTTCCATCCTCAAAGAGACAAAGACAAGCTTGAGCAGACAGTTGTGGTATACCCAGAGAAGTCTGCCACAGGCACTTCCAGCCAGGGTGGGGGCAGCAAAGTCTTCCATGAGGAAGACTGACCTTTAAAGAACACATAGGAGGGGCCGGGTGTGGTGGCGCACGCCTGTAATCCTAGCACTTTGGGAGGCCGAGGAGGGCAGATTGCTCAAGGTCAGGAGTTCGAAACCAGCCTGAGCGAGACCCCGTCTCTACCAAAAATAGAAAAAATTAATTGACCAACTAAAAATATATATACAAAAAAATTAGCCGGGCATGGTGGCGCATGCCTGTAGTCCCAGCTACTCGGGAGGCTGAGGCAGTAGGACCGCTGAGCCCCAGAGATTGAGGTTGCTGTGAGCCAGGCTGACGCCACGGCACTCACTCTAGCCTGGGCAACAAAGTGAGACTCTGTCTCAAAAAAAAAAAACACATAGGAGGGAGTTAGCTTGATGACAAGGTACAGGGCAAGAGCACCAGGAATGGAACATGCAAAGGCCCTGAGGCTTAAAAGCAGCAACACCTCTTGGCAACTCCCGAGGAGAGGGCTCTGTCCACGTGGAGGAGAGATGAAGGGTGAGGCTGCAGAGGGAGGGCAGGGGATCTCACAAAGGGTCTGCTTGCTAAGCTAAGGATTCAAATTTTATACTGAGAGTGATAGAAAGTTGCTGGAATTTTAAGTGGGGAAGTAACACAGGCTGGTGCTTTGAAAAGACAGCTCAGCAGATGAGTAGAAGATGAAAGCATCCAGGAAAGTATACCCCAGAAAGGGACAGCAAAGGCTGAGCCAAGGCAGAGGCAATGGAAGACTCTGCAACTTAAACTTATTACATCAAAGTCTTGCTATCAGCTACAATGATGCTGCTGCAACCAACAGATTCTAGAAATGACCTGCAGTTCAGCAGTACCCACTCTTGTCATATCTTACATTGTTTCCCAGTTAGGTAAAATCTCATTATTCCAAGTAAGGACAGCATTTCCAATGCTTTCCTCTACTTTGCATCTTTCTTCCAGCTGCTTTTTCCTCCGCTGGGCTTCTTTCAGCTCTAGAAATCACGATTAAAAAGGAAAAAAAAATCTATTAACTGATATCCCCCATTTTCAAGCTAGATGAATTTTCTTAAACAGTCATGTTGCAAAAACACCAGGAAAACGGCATTGAAGTAGAGCAAGCTTCAGCTTTCAAGGCTTACTTCATATTCTATGACTTTAGAACGTTTAGGCATAATCCATCTCTTAATAAGATTTTTCGGTATAACATGCATACACAAAAGTGTATGAATTAGAATATAATTAAATTAACAGAAAATACAAAAACCCATGAAACTACCATCAAAACAACATAAGTTACTTAGATGCCAGAAACCCTCTTGTGCTCCCTACCCCATCCTCTTCCCAATGTAACCTCCATGCTGATTTCCAACAGCTTAAGCATTACTGGTAATGTAAGAATAGCAACTCTGAGAAATAACATGTATTTAGTTTATATATACTTTTTTACTGTGACAAAATATATGTAAAAGTTACCATTTTAGCCACTTGAAGTATACAGTGTTAGTGGCATTAAGAACATTCACATTGTTGTGCAGCCATCACCACCACCCATCACCAGAACTTTCTCAATTTCCCCAAACTGAAACTTTGTACCCACTAAACACTAACTCCGCATCCATCCTTCCCCCCAGAATCCAGCAACCACCATTCTACTTTCTGTCTTTATGAATTTGACTACTTTAGGGACATCACCTAAGTAGAATCAAAAACTATTTGTCCTTTTGTGACTGGCTTATTTCACTTAGGATGCTGTCTTAAAGATTCATCCATGTCGCAGCATGTGTCAGAATTTCCTTCCTTTTTAACCACTTCGGTATGGTGCTCACTGGCCACGAAACCTCGCCCACAGCCGGCACTCATAGTCCGCACGATAGTGTGTGCTGTGCACTGACAACGAATCCATTTTGCTCCTTGTGTGATGAGGAAAGCTTGAAAGCACTGAGAGCTTGTTTTACTTTACAGGCAGCTTTACTTGTAATGTAAATCAGAATAGGTAACACATACATATATGTTTTCATTACGTTATTTTTAAATGTTCACAATTTTATTTTGACAAATGAGAAATTAGAAAAGTCACATCAGGGCTGTTGGCTCAAGTCGACGCTCGGCTGTGCACCTTCATATCACAGCTCTCGGCTAAAGTCGCTGTGCGCGTTCATCTGTGGCTATCCACACTGGTACCGAAGTGGTTAAGGCTAAATAATACTCCTTTGTCATATATATCACATTTTATTACGTATACTTTTTAAATATCCTACAAAAACGGTTTTTTAGGTGTTGGAGTGATTTTATCAAATCCAATCACATCTTGTAAATAAAGAAAACAGCCCAGACAGGGAAAGAAATTTGCATGTCATTATTGGCTAAAGCTTTCTCTAATATTTTTAATCTATACAATCTCTTTTCTCATGTAAGTTGAAAGTGTTATTTTCTTGAACAAAAGCATCAGGAATGGATAGAAACATGCATTTTTGATAGAAAATTATAAATTTCAAAAAATTAAAGCATTCAGTAAAGTTCAGGTTCTACAACGCCAAAGTTAAGAAAATGTCCAGAAAGACATAAAATCTTGTGCTGCCTATATAACCACACATGTGAATCCCATTACCTCGTTTTTTGGCCTGAACCACCATTTCTTCATACTGTTGTCTGTGTTTCTGAGCTTCTTCAGCTGGTTTTGCTGGGAGATTTCTTGACAGGAAATAAATGGTTTTTCACAATTATAAATATCAAATAAGTCTTTGAGAAAAAATCCTGAAGCATTATTTACTAAAAAATGTAAAGCTCAAAGAACAAAACCTAAATTTAAGATTATGCAGTTCTTTCACAAACTAAAAATATTTTCTTACAAAAGCAAAGCATACTTAGTGTAAAACAACTGAATTATAATGATTAATAGAAAGAAGAAAATAATTATCTACAATTACAATACAGATAATATAAATAATTTTTTGCTGTATTTTCACGCCATTCTCCAAAGAAATTTTGATTTGACCACAATACACTAATAATTGTCAACAGTTAATCCTTGCAGTAGGGTATCCCAATAGCATTTGTTACATATATATACAAATACATTTACTGGCCAATTTTTTTAAGTGTGGGAATTTCACATTAGCTATGTGGTTCACTTGTTTTGGTTTTTTTATATACAAATGTATACCATAGTTCCAAGCATGTAAAGAGTGGGTGCACCTTCAAATCCCAGTTTAAAAAATAAAAGGCATGCTCTCTTTCAGAAACATGTTTGTGAATTTGCTGGCACTGGAATTAATGGGAGGGCAGCAGTATCTGGCTACTTGTGCCCTTCATACAGGACTCACATTCCCTGAGACATTTTGAACAATTGTCACTTGCTGCAGAAGAACATGGCAAGCCGCCCAGTTCATGTTTCAGATCATTAAAAGGATTGGTCTTCACTGTGCAGAGGCTTTTACCAGTGGTTTCTATCTAACTCTTCAGTCCTCCACCTTAGGCTTTCTCTCCCCACACACCCACAATTTTCAAGGACTAAGAATTAACAAGGAAACATTACTCCTTTGGATTTCACCAATTTTAAATTTCAGGGATAGCAGGGACCTTAGAGATTAATTAAGGAGGTTTTACAACATTCTTTTTCTTTTTTTAAGCAGGGGACCTTCTATTCAAACACAATGTTCTATGGAAAGTCAATACTTAAAAGTAGGTAAGTAGGGCCTTGGTACTATGGAGCAATCCCTTGTACTCCACTAAGATCTCCAAGTCCCATCTCCTTATCACATAGCAGGAAAGCAGAGGCCCAGAGAGAGATAGAGACCTGCCTAAGATCCCCCACAGGCTGCTTTAATGCAGATTCCAAAGAACCCAGTAGGCTAGTCCAGAAATTGTTCTCCAAATATCATGGCACCTCCAAAACACCCACTTTTACACTTTCCAATGTTTCTTGGAGTTACAAACCTATCATTTATAAAAGCTACTTAACTGTTTTTCCTTTTTTTTTTTTTTATCTTCTGCCCTTGGACATTGAAAAGTATTTTAAAATGCTAAATTAAAAAGAAAAATCATCTGAATAGGAAATTCTGGTCCAAACTTCTATGCTAAAGGATAATTTTTCCAAATTAGTCATTTACTTTCATCACAGAATACATGTTAATATAGGGAATAATAAGTGATTACAGCTTCCCTCTTGTGACCCTAGCTCTTTTTTAATGAAAAGCAAGTTCTAAAACAAACTCTTATAGAGATTCTTCTTAAGACTCACGCTGGTCTGTCTTCGAGGATGAGTGCAGTGGTGGAAAGTGGCTCAAAATCAAGATTCTTCCTCACATTCTGCTTTGGAGAGGGTGGCTTGCTAGGTCTTCCAGTTTTGTCTTCATATTCCTAGGACAAGAAAACCAGGGATGATTTTGGGCCCAGCTAATTATGATATTATGAATTGTCCTTCTGAAAGCAAGAAAGCTTTTTGGTAATGAAGGTCCTTTAAGTCAATCTTTCCTGCTATTCAGAAAGAAAAAACTCTGACTAAACGGTTTCTATAGCTCTGCAGGTGAAGCCACTGATTTATGACTGGGCACTTCCTTTGCAGGTGGGGAAATTACAAAAGATCTCATCGTCAAAGCAACCTCTCTATAATGGCCCACAAACATTGTCTCAGGTCTCCTATCTCCTGTATAAGAGGCATGTTTTCTGTCTTCGGACACTATAAATTTTAACTGATTATTATAATGGCCACTGGGAACCATCATCGCAAATTGTTACATAAATAATTTTGCCACGCCCAGGAAATCTAAGAGCAGCCTCCATAACATTGGGTCACCAATTCGTTCCATGGATTGCAACCACAAAAGCTTAGTCACACATTCCAAACATCCAGCCAGAAGAAGTTCAGAAGAGCTAAGCAAGTTGGTACTTATGAAATAATGTAGGGAAGGGGGTACCCTTAGCTCTCTGCAAAATCAAAAACCAAAATTTTCTCATTGCCTATTATAGATGAGGTTCTCAGGACCATCCCTTAAGGGAAGATAATCTAGTTGGGAAGATAGGACAAACAAATGTGGAGTTACCCTAAGATTTCAATAACCATTCCAGATAACAAGAGCATTGTCATGAGGTGGTGAGTAATTGTTAAATGCATTTGATTGACGTTAGCTGTCAAGAGGGGTATTACTGGTAAAATTACTTTGCAAATAATTACTCTCTCAGCCAGAAAGGCCTCTAAAAAGTAGAAAGAAAAATGACGTCCTCAAAACACATAGGCTATGAGAAGGGAGCACAGCAACAAGCAACAGGTGGGTGGGGCGGTTTCTGTATATCTGGATGAACAAGGTTAGATGTCTTAACACTGTTTACTCTGACTTAAAATTATTTCCACTTACCAAAAACTAAGAAAATAGATTCACTCCTTTATGGATTCAAACATCTGAGTGGCTACACCATGCCAGGTACATAGCCATGGCTTAACTTGGCACTAAGCCATCAGGAAGCTTCAGGTATAATACCTGAATGTCAAAATCTTCAATTTTATAGGAAATCTACCAAAAACTATATTGAGAAAGATTTTGACACACGTTGCATTTTAATAAGAATCAGTAATGCATACCCCACTGGGTGCTATGCCTGGTCTTATGAATTGTATGCCAAGACCAAAGAGGTTGGGCCCAAAACTTAGGTGTACCAGAATTTGCATGCCCATTTTCCATTTGCTTTTGTGTGCTCTATACATGTTGTCTCATTTTATCTTCACAGCAATCTAATTGGCAAGTGTCATCCCACTTTACAGATAGGATAACTGAGGTTCAAAGTGAAATGACTTGCCCCAAAGCACATAGCCAGCAAGGTGCTGGTTCTGTAGGACTCCTTCCACTTGGTCATTCTGAACAGGCACAACCTCTTTTATGAACGTACCCACGCAAATAGCTGTGCAGTTTTAGAGGGAAAAGGCTGAGTCCTACATGGGTTAGATATGGCCTCTGGAGCTAGACAGGACTGGGAGCAAATTCAGATCCACCAACCACCTGCTGTGACCTTAGTGAGGAAAGTACTCACTTCACACCCCTGAGCCTCATTTCCACACCTGCAACATGGGAAATAGCACCAACCAGAGAGGGCCGCTGTAAGGATGGGGAGATGTGAAGGCCTCTGGTGCAGAGGGAGTATTCACTTACTGGTATACACCATTACCTTTTTTTCGCCCTTAGACCTGAAACAACTATACATAGCAGAGAAAATGCTCTAGTGCCAAATAACAACCAAGGAGTCCAGCCAAGTCTGCAAACAGCACAGATATGAACAGTAGAAGTAAAAGGAAGCAAATGCCTTGAGTCATGAACAAAAACATCAGATCTCTTCAGGCAGAGCTTTTTACTATTACTGCCACCACCACCAAGCAGTGTGGCAGAACTTTTCAAGGGCTCTAAACACACTGAGTTAGCTCAGTTTAACCTTCGCACCAGACCTGTGTAGGAGGAGCTGCCCCCACTCCCAAGTCACAGATGGGAACCTGAAGGCCCAAAAATGTCAATGACTTGCCCAGCTCAGAAGGTGAGTAGAGAAGCTGGATCAGAAGCCAGGCACTGTGGTTCTGCAGCCACATTTCTCAACACAGAATTCATGCAAGCCACTTTCAGACATGAATCGGAAGTAATTTCATCATTCACATTCAGTCTACATAGAGCTTTCAACCATGACAGAAACCTGTAATACTGCATTCAGTGCACAGATTAATGAAGATGCTGGGTCAAATACTTATGTTTGAATCACATGGAGCAATGCATGATTAAAATAATAAAAGCCTCGCCTGCCCATACTTGAAATCCCAGGCAAAGCCTTTTCAAAACCCTAAATGACATTTCAGAATAGGAACGGCATTGGAAATGGTTACAGGTCCTACTCCAAACGTAGCTCTCCCATAGCTACCCAGAGGTATCAACATTAGTTCACTGTCCAAGCCAGACAAACCAACTTTAGAAGACTGTTCACTCGAAGGATCTTGGGAGGGGATAAAATACCCCTGAACAAAGAACACTAAGTTGTGAATTATCAACATTTAGGGGCAACACATGATAAGGCAGGAGCCAAGGCTTTGGGAGCAAAAAGACTGAGTTGTAAGTCCTGGCTTTGACCTTAAGCAAATCACCTGGTCTCCTCAGCTGTAAGCAGCAACTGTGAAGACCACCGTGGTGATTAAAAGAGACCATACAAGTAAAATTGCTGCTGCCCACCTGAATGCTGAGCCCCTTTTGTGTTCCTACCTGAGCCCAACATATCCTCACAAAGTTCTATCTCTGCATGGGACCAAGTTTTAGTCTCTTAGTTTAAACCAAGTAACAATGCCCATCTTGTTGGGCTCATCAAAAGCCCTGCAGGCTAACAGGTAAAACAAATAACCCATTCAAGAGAATGCTGCTGAGCCCAGCCTGGACAACTCTAGTGAGAATTTAGAACGAGATTCTTCAATGTTCTAGTGGCAAATCAGTTTAATCAGTAGTGACAGCACTTTTTATTTATTTATTTATTTTTGAGACAGAGTCTCGCTCTGTCACCCAGGGCTAGAGTGCTGTGGCGTCAGCCTAGCTCACAGCAACCTCCAACTCCTGGGTTCAAATGATCCTTCTGCCTCAGCCTTTCCAGTAGCTTGCGATTACAGGTGTGTGCCACCATGCCCAGCAAATTTTTTCCATATATTTTTAGTTGTTCAGCTCATTTCTTTCTGGTTTTAGTAGAGACAGGGTCTCGTTCTTGCTCAGGCTGGTCTTGAACTCCTGAGCCTAAGCAATCCTCCCACCTCGGCCTCCCAGAGTGCTAGGATCACAGGCGTGAGCCACCATGACATGGCGACGCCCGCCATGACAGCACTTTCTGAAAAAAAACGAAACAATAAAACACAGAGCACCCATAGCAAAGGCAGTTTGTGTCAGTTCTATACCTACTCATATCTGTGCAGTCTCAACTTAAACTGTCTAACCAGAAGGTCATTTCCAAGAAATGTGCAAGCTGGTAACTTAGAAGCACACCATTTCAAATTCCTTGCCCTGAGCAGTTTATAAGGAATCATGCTGGGGAAGACAAGACATACCAATGAGGCAGCAGCAAAGAGAACATGCTGCACCTACCCAGCAAAAGTTCAGGGGGAAAAAGTAGGCAGCCAGGGTACCCAAGCAGGCCCTCAGCTCCATGCGGGGGGCAATGAGCAAAACAGACTTAGCAAATAGGGGTAACAGGGAAGGGGACCACATAGGGCCTGGCACTTTAGGAGGCCCTTAGTCCCCAACCTACCAGGGCTCACTCAGTAGGAGCAGTAAGATGCAGGAAGAGGATTCCACACAGGTGAGACCTTAAGAAATGTAGGGGCTGGGGGCTGGGGTCATGCTACACATGCTGCAGAAGGTCAGAGAGCAAGATGCCTATGGCCAGGGGGAATCATCTCACAAAGAGGCTATTTGAGTGGCCAAGGACAGGTAAGATCTAGGCTGGAGGCCATGAGGGAGAGGCACTCTAACAGCACAACCAGCGGCCACGAGACGCCCAAGAGCAGGCTTATTCATGGGTTAGCATGAACAACAGGGAATGATACTGAGTCAAAGTTGTTCTGCTCTAGATTTGATGGGTCTCAACAACAAGTTCCCTAGAGCTTGTGGGACAATCCCCAAAAGAGAGAGTATGAGCCAGACTTGGTGTAGAGCCAAAAAGCAGAAAGTGTGAGGAGCAGAAGCCCAGCAGATGCATCCAATGGCAGGGTCCACATTATGTGTATGATGTGCATAGTGTTTAAGGTAAAGAGAAGGGCACTAGACTCCTGAATTAGACTTAAAATTTGTCAGTTAAAAAAGAGAAAAAAAAAAAGGCCGGGTGCAGTGGCTCACAGCTGTAATCCTAGCACTCTGGGAGGCTGAGGTGGAAGGATTGCTTGGAGTGAGGAGTTGAAGACCAGCCTGAGCAAGAGCGAGACTCCATCTCCACCAAAAAATAGAAAAAATTAGGCGTGGTGGTGTGTGTCTGTAGTCACAGCTCCTCTTGAAGCTTAGGCAGGAGGATCGCTTGAGCCTAGGAGTCTGAGGTTGTAGTGAGCTAGGCTGATGCCACTGCACTCTAGCTAGGGACGAAAGAGCAAGAACCTGTCTCAAAAAAAAAGGAGAAAGAGAGAAAAAAAACTAGGCTGCCTCTGCCTGTACAGACATTTGTTTTAAGAAGGGAAAAAAAATCATGATTCTCAAACAATGAAAAGAAAGTATTCCTGATAGAAAGACAAGAGAGGTCATCAATGCCACTTACAGAACTGGAAGAACACTACAAAAGAAAGCCAATGATGCCAATAACCTGGCCAGGAGAAGCCCCCTTACTTTCTGGAAGGTGGCCCCTGGCTTCCTGGAAATCTGTTTTAG